TAGGGTCCTGTAATCGGGTTTCAGGGAGGCAGCAGACGTCAATGATCGTAGACTCAAGTGTGCTAGCAAGGGCTTCCTGTGATCCGATCTGCATCGGGGTCCGGACGTTAAAGGTTGCCAGATTGAGTTGGAACCGGTGCGCTAGAAAATGCTTTCCGATACTACTTGATGACGCATCCTCAGACCTAAATTCCTGATCCTATGGCTAAAGAGCTCGCCCAAGGCGGTACGCTTTTGTGGACTCGGAAACGGAGAGGAATTACCATGGATGAGGGAGTAGAACAAACGTGGAATAAAGCAACTGAACTGTGGTGTGGTTGAGCGCGATATAGTGTGTTTGGCCGCCAGCGTCTCGGCCGAGGGTGGCATTTACAAAGAGCAGAGAGAGATAGATGTAGGTCATTGAATTCATGGTCGTGTAGCTTCACGGTAGGCCAAGCCGTGGAAGGGGGTTGACTTAGGGGACCCCACCCGGAGGCTTTGGTCCTAAAGACAGCGAGGCGATTGACGTATCGCATGTCCTTGGGAGCCTGCTATCACGATAAGGATAACACGGCTTTCGAGTAGGAACCAACTACTCAGGACACCCAAGGAGCCAGTGTGAAGCAACACGGAGGCTAGGAAAAATTTCCTGGGACACTGAGCTCACCTAAGAGCACGAAGGCCGTTGACAGCCAGACGGCTCATACGCTTTGGCAGAAGGCGATGGTCATCGAGGTTGTTCGTTCGCGGTCCATTGATTACTCACTTCTGGTCGCAGAAGTGAGTGGTCATTGACTCCATAGCCGATCACATTGGCTTTCTCACACCGTCCTACGAGCACTTGTTTTATTTAATGAGGAACCAGGTGACCAACCCAGAACCCCTCCCCACGCCCTACGATGCTGCTGCTGATTGTCCGCGACTGCTTGTTCACCTCGCCTGCGTGCAGCCGAGATTTATTCACAGTTACTTTCGCAAATAAGGCGTTCCTTGATCCGCGATCTGGAGACAGGCCCAGTGGCGTGCAGCTTCGCCGAACCAACCGCTAGTCGGTTCACTTCCGGTCCTCAGCCGTCTACAAAGTCGGAGGGTATAATAGACTATTTCTGTCATCAGCTCCCATCTCTTTTCCGTATGGCAAGGATACTGATATCATAGTTGTTACTGGTCACATGAATATCCTAGTGGCCCACCTTTTGGGCTCTGAACGGCAACTGGTAAGCCGTTTCGATGTCAGTGCACTCCGAACGGACCAAGACGATCCATTCCTGCGACGGTGTGCTCATCACAATTTGTGTACGAACAGCGCTGCTTTCTAACACATGCGTTCACATTGTGTCACATAGCGCCCACCGAATTCCTCGATGGGCTGGACCCAAATTGACCGTATTACGTACAGCTACAGAGGTTGCACATCGGTCCAAGACTATCGGTCCACTTGCAGCACATGTCTGGATTCCGACCGTACTCTATTGCGCACGGCTGGAGCCCACTTTTTCGGCTTTAACGAAGCGCCCAACTTCCAAGCTTCCCGCAGTCCGCAATTCAGCGATACCACGATGATCTGGCGTATCAGTTGTTAATAACAAATGCGATTAGGGAGTCAAATGCCCACTGAAATCTTCGCAAATTCACCACAAAGAATGCTTTCGGAGCCTACTATACAGTCAACTGTAAACATTTTTTATTCATAGATCAGTTTGATCAAACCTCATCAGCAGATGCCGTTGGATACTGAGTTACAGTATATATGTAACGCACTGAAACATCGATTAACTAGAAGTCTTAGCATCGCCCGATAACATTGGTGGGGACATGTGCTGTTGGGATGAATAAAGCCAGGGCTATTGGAAACGGTCGAGTAATGTTCCAACTCATCCGGCTAATAGATCCGAGAAATCTCTCAGTTAGTGAGTCAGTGCTTGCGAATGATGGGCAATTGGTCGGTTCTCAGCCTCGTCGACTAATCCTTTGGTTGGAACACTTAGAAGAGCATTTCAACAGGCCTGCGGTATTATTGCTTGCTGCATCATCTGAGCCGACGTGGGAAGTTGGTGTCACACCTCCCACTTTGGAAGAGACTCGACACGAATTCGCAATGTGGAAACGAAGAAAGGCTCTTTCTGAAAATTAGCGGTGATTCTTTATCGACTGAATTTGTCATTCTATCCAACAATATTTGTTACACTGAAGCGGTATCTTCAGACTGGCGACTGTCAACTGTCGTCCCCAAATTCAAAATAATCGACGGACTGTGTGCGAAAATCTCTCTATTGTCTCCAATCTTCGACGACTTACTGGTCCTCGTGAGAATTAAATCATTGGGAGCCAGGCTGGTCCCCTATTTGGTCGTGATTGCGGTGGTCACATTTATTATTCGTCAACTATCGGAGCAGAGACACCTTTACAAATTATTGACTATGGTAATTTTCCCTGATTTGCATGTCGCCCTAGACTTTGGATTGTGTCAGCTTGTGTAGTTGTCTATCCTTGATGGAAGGAAATGACAACATTTTTTTCCTAAGTCTATCTTGACTCACGAGCCTTAGTAAGGGTATATGAGAAGCTTCCTTCTGAGTTCCCTACGATAACTAAGGTTCACCAGGGTTGTCCTATATCTCCTTTTTATACAACTTTGTGCTACGAGTGAGTATAACTGACTACTCATGACTTCTTCCTCTGTAGAAGTTTTGTCAGACGACCGACTGGCGAGCCTCGACTATGCGGACGAGAGTCCTTCGGATGATGTTGTCCATCATTCTTCCCACAATGCTGGTCGCATACATGCAACCTTGATAGAATTGCTACCTTGCTCTCTTCGTGCCTCCTCAGTACATGACAGAAAATAGTATGCAACTTTGCATGGTTTTTTGGCTAGATTTCGGCTACACCGCACTCAGTCACTTCGCATTTATCTAATTCAAACGTTTCCCATTCTGGACTATCCGAATCTCGCATACTATTTGTTGAAATTCAGTGACCATCCGAGCCATCTGAATCTAATGGAGCGTTTCAGTCTTCTCTAAAACTTCCTTTCATACACGCTTGCCATGCAATTTTTTGGGTTATATAGCGCGGCGGTCGTGCGCTATATATCAGGAAGTCCGATTTGAACGGCCAACCAAATATGTGCGACAGAACACACAGAAATAAGCTAGAAAATGTTTATTGGAAGGTTACTAAATCCTAAGACTAAAAATAAGGCACCGAGAGATATCCAGCTAGGGAGTATGTGGTAGGGTGTTGAGTGCGATGGGCAGCCAAAGTCCGGGTGTTGTCGGTGCGTCAAACAAAACTTGCCCCATTCGAACATGCAAACCACCTACTTCCTTAATACCTAAGAAAACTATGGTTTCATAATCTTTTAGATTGATTTACACAACAAGCAGGGGAATTTCCAGGTCACTACAATTATATCTGCCACAACCCATTAGCATTACGATGTGTAAGAAGACAACTTGCAATGCCCCAACGTGAATGACCACCTGTGTCGGTTTTTCGGCCACGACTTAGGTCCTTAAACATGTGGTCATTCCGATTTCTGCACGTTGAGATTACAATCACTCTACAACGAATTGTTTACCTGATAACCAGTTTTCGTGAGCTGTTTTCTTACCAATTTTCTTAAAATCAGCTCGGATTAGCAATGAGGCACGTGTAGCGCTTACCTCGGCTCATGATAAACGGATGCTATTTCAAGTTAGTCACAGTACACACAGTGCGCGTATTTCTGGTGAATTGGGCATTCTGTATATAGCTAATCATTACCAAATATTTTCTCTCTCTATTTGTTCGTGCAATCATTTTACCTTTAGCGTCTTCGCGAAGCCGAATCGTTGAGTCGCACCAATCTAAAGCGTCGTTCAGTAATTGCCAGCACCTACCATGTCTAACCAATCAGCCGATTTACTTGGCTTACCAACACATTGCATTTTCTCGCTAAAGGCTGCTTCTTTATCTGAGTCTCACTGCTTTACCACACTTCGATGATATCAAGGTTGGAAATTCGCTTCGTTCATCACTTGTTTCAGCAGTGGAAACTTTGTCCTCTACTCAGCGCTTATCACACCAGAGACACTAGGGCTGTTAGACTGCGTTTGGCAACTTACATGTTGTGCACCTCGGTTCTCGGTCATCATACCTTCTTGTTTCGTCATTCTACATGACATTAGCACCACTTTATCGCGACGTTGGTGTACCGACTCTTGTCCCCCAAGGTTAATTCCCGATGTATAATTCAGCCAAGTTTACCGCTTATTGTATTCACGTAGTCGTAGAGTGATGCATCAAAACGTGCACTTAATGTCCACCGGGTTCTCAGCCCACCGTTTCCAAGTTTTTTCAAACCTTTGGGTATCTCCAACATTTAGTTTCTATTGTTTTAACTCTACCGCTTTTACTGAATCACTCTCGCTTGCTTTGGTTTTCTAGTCGGTACTGAAGACCTTGCGCATTGCGCCCCGAACGGAATGGTAGCTAATTGTATTCCAAATTAACATAACATGTGAGACTTAGTCTTCCAGCGGTTTTCTGACTCGCTCTCCGAGACGAACGTGCAGCCTACACTACTACTCGGAGAAAGAATACAGGGTTTTAGCGGAGTGGCTAATACGGTCTAGGCAAAGTCAACACAGGGTATGTGCGACTTGGTATTTATTTGACGATTGACCGTATGATTAGAAGGTAGCGTGATGTCACCTGCTTACTGTAACGAAGGTGACTGTCAGATAGACGTAATTGCCAGCGGCCGGCGGTATTAGTGAGATGATCACACAGTCGCAAACTGGTAACTGGGTCTGGGGGAAAGTGGCGATAACTGCCATCCAACAGCGTCATCAATAACGCATTGCGTTCATGCACCATGGCAACTATATGGCACAATTAGAGATCGGGGAGGTGCACTCTTTTCGGAATTTTTATGGAACCACTAGGTCTCGACACTACGTACTCATTTCTATTATTTCTTACTGTCCCACTGTTCCTATCCAATGATAAACTCTTCCTGTTTTTTCTTGCAGGGTTTCGGCACACTACTGATGGAAGAAGCTGAACGCATTGCTCGTACTGAGCATGGCTCGGATAAAATCGCAGTTATTTCTGGTGTGGGCACCAGGGATTATTATCGCAAATTAGGATATGAGCTGGATGGACCGTACATGACTAAAATGCTCTGTCAACTAGTGTAGTAAATTACAACTACACTTTTCTATTTGCATAACATATTTTCCATCTACTTGTATCTTTCACTACTTTTCGATTTTATGTGGTCTGGTAGGGTTTTTCTTGACGTCCTCTTTCGATTCCAACCCCATACTACTATTACCCGAAAAATCGAATAAGTACTAACTCGATGGAGTTTAGTGTTACAAGCGGGTAATAAGAGATGGCTAGCACATTTACCTTATCAAGGTTTTCGCCAAACTCGGTGATCGAAATTGCAACTGCGCCGCCGGGGTTCCAAAGTCAGACATTTTCTGCAGCCAAGAAGACCTAAAACTTTTGACACTTGAATTTGAATGCGCCGCTGGCTTACCATTGATAAGTAAGATTATTGGGGATGATTTCTATCTGCCGTCGATTTTATGGTCCATGGGAACCGCTCCTTTGAAATGCCAAAATCTTATCTCCTATATCCAAATGAACGACTAGTAGCAACACGTCTCCCAACCTACCAGAGGTGAAAGTACTCTGGACCTCGTTTTTTCATTGGGCCTACCTGCAATCAGTGTTAACGTCCTTGCTGAATTTCCGAGGAGCGATTATCGCGTGGTCAAATGCCACCTAGGACTACGCATGGCCGTAGTACAGGACAATGCATTATTGTCTGTTCAGTTCCATCAATTGGAACTTTCAGGGACCTGGTTCGTTCGATGAATTGGGATAACTTCTTCCTCTCTTCATGTTCTCATCAAGCGACGGATCTGTTTTGTAGTATAACTGGCTTCTGCATCGATTCAGCAGTATTACTAAAATGTGCATATCACACTAAACATAAATCCGATCCCAAAGCGTTCAAGGCAGCACGAAAGCAGCATAAGCTTCGGCGGAAATTCAGGTTAACTGTTGGTTTTGCGTTGTTATTACAACAGTCCAAGATCGTTGAAGAACAGAGGCATCAAAATGACAAAACTCTCATTCTTGAAGAGTATAAAGCTCCAAACGAACCTAGCAAAACCGCTGAACTATTCTGTGCCCGGGGTTCGCGTCGCAGCAACACTTTCAATTTTTCACCACGGCCGATGGAATACACCTTGACGCACCAGGTGATATCTTCGAAGCATTTCTTTGCTTATTTTTGCCGAATCATTGGTCAATGGATCATCAGACACACCAGAACTTATCATGTCACGCAACAGTGAAAGTCTATGCGCAGTGGAATTCACTGTAGCGAAAATCTCTAGTCAAGTCTTTCGCTTATGCTCTTCAGCTTGAACAGGCCCTGATGGGACCCCCCTTGTTTAATAAAAAGCAGTGGTAGTGACTCCCTTCTGCTTTTACTCAACGTCTTTACACTCTCTTTTCACAACGGAATATTTCCTACTGTGGCAAACTTCTTTCGTTATCCCTCGACACAAAAGTGGCGTCGACTGCGAGGTTAAAAACTTTCGCCCTATCAATCACACACCCATCATATCTAGAATAATGGAAAGGATAGTGGAAGATGAACTATTTCAATTTTTGAACAAGGCAAACATCATCCGCAATTCGTAGCACGGTTTTATGCAAGGTCGATCCTGCGCAACATGCCAGGCAGACTTTTTAAACCACAGGCTTCCATAGACAATGGAAACAGTGTTGTAATCCTACTCTTGGATATGCAAAAAGCGTTTGATAGAGTGCTTCACAGAAGGTTACTAAGCAAACCGATGGCCATAGGCATTGAAGAAGCGATATTTTCTTGGGTGTCTTCATATCTAATTTGTAAACAGCAGGTGGTGCTCATCGGCAACCATTTCTCTAAACCGAAAGCAATCACCAGTGGAGTGATTCAAGGAAGTGTTCTTGGTCCTCTTTTTTTCTAATATATATTAACAATATATTACGCAGAATAATAAATGGTTACGTTTATCTTTGCTGACGACGTTAAAGTCGTCTACTCACAGCAACATGCAAATACGCAGGAAGCCGTACATCGCATTCAGGATGACCTATCTGCACTTGACTGCTGGCGCTAACTGTAGCAGATGTCATTTGCCGTGGACATGTGTAGTGTTTTGTCGTACAAATGCCAAATACCACCGGACATTCCATTACTACAAGGTGCATAAATCTCACATTGCAGGGCAGTACACGATTTGGGCGTTCGATATTCGGTCACTTATAACTTTTTCTGAGCATTGTGACTTTCAAGTTTCGAAGGCCATGAATACCATCGGTCACATATGCCGCTATTTTTACCTCACGGAATCTCGTATATCGCTTTACAAAACATGTATTGCCGTGTATGAAATACTGTGCATTGGTCCAGTCTAATCTGCGGAAATCTGACCAGCATACTCTTGAGAGGGTCCACAGAAGCTTCACGAAAAGCTATGTGGATATTTCTCAAAGATGACATACAGAGATCGATGTGATAAACTTGGATTTGACCTAGTCTGGCTTTAGAGAATGAAGCTGAACCTATATTTGCTTTACAGGATCATAAACCGTCAGATTCGCAGTCTTGGTAACGATGTTCACATATCATTAAACAGTGAATATTCAATCCCTAACAAAGGGATAGAGGTTATGATTCAAAAATTTACTCCGAGAATCACAGGACCTTTCTTTCTAATCCACTACTCAGAGATTTGGAACAAACTTCCCAGCGATATCAGAACATGCCATACGCTGCAATTTTAAGCTTGTGATTAGTAAACGGTTAACCGTCCAAAACATGATTAATATGTTTGGGACATCACAATCCATAGATAACGCTTTCGAAAACAGTGTAGATGGTGCCCGAATAAATTTTCAAAACGCATACACATAGCATTATATCACAACCCCTTTCGTTTCGGTTACTCCTTTTATCAGCCCGAACATGTCATGTGATTGTGAAGAATCCTTGTTCAACGACAGGAAAAAAATAGCAGAACGATTCTGATTACATTTTGTTACCTAATTTTGAACTTGCGCCTAGGTTTATTTTCGAAAACTTATTATTGCAGTGGCATGTACCATTATTTGATCTAAATAAACAAATAAATAAATAAACGTTTTATTCCTCAGCAGTGCGAGCCACAGACCAATTGGGTGGTCTTATCAACATGTACAACGTGATCGCATAATATAGTTAATTATTCGTCTTGTGATCAGTGGTTCCCATATGGGTTTTTGAAATGATTAGCAGTTTGGAAAAAATAAAGAGATAAAGAAACTGGGAACAATAATAAATGTAGATCTTACGGAAAGTTCAAGTAAAGTAATACGGTCATCCATGGAACTGTCCCCAGGGGACTTGCTTCCATGCAGGGTATTTCCACGATGGGTTTCACCCGCATTTCCACGCTCCAATTGGCTCTGTGCCTGTGTGGTAAGATAGTAAATAGGCCATCAGAACTAGGTGTCAAATGTCTTTTTTTAGGGCTGCTTTATGCATACATTATAGGCGATGAAGCCTCAGCCCTTTTTGCCATGCGAATCAATCAATTATGTCACTTTTGTGTTTTAAGCCAGCGAGTCAGTAGTAATATGATTTGCATGGGTATACTTTTTATTTTGGAAGCTGTAATCCGTCACCACAAGAGATCAACCCAGTCATAACCAACAATGACACAAAGAAGATAAAGTATGAGGGATTATAAAACATAATAATGAATACAAACGCTTGCCGATAAGCCAATCACAATTTGCTGGAAAGTCTTGGCAAGTGACGGCGATGGTACAGCGACATCAGCTTGAAAGGCGTAGTGCATCTACAAACCAGTGCGTCAAAGGAGAAAACAGAATTAGTTGGACGGATAAATAGGAGTAAGATCGTTCTCAAATATATACTCAAGAATGCAATTATATGTAGGTAATCTTATATTATTGAAACGGATAGAGGATATGGTGACTTTCATACGTATCCAGGACCTTTCTCATACAAATCATCTAGAGTCACCGTTTGGCTTAGTGTTGACCAGATGTTTGCAACAGTCAGGTGAATATTAATCATGCGTCTGAATTGTGCATAGGTAGTGCAGTTTCTAACACTCGATGGAAGTTTGTTCCATATTAACGCATATTTTACAGAGAAAAATTTTGAGCGGAGCTTTGTGCGAGTCTTTGGTATTTTGACTGTGCGCTCGCTGTTTCTTAGTTCATAGCGCATACGAGTCTGAAACTCAAGTTGTGGCTGAGCAGTGAAGGTCAATCCGAATAGTAAGCGGTATAAATGGCACAGATTAAGTTTGAGTCTGCGTAGCCATAGCGGCTCCAGATTTAGCGCCTCGCAACGCTCACGGTATGTCATAGTATTAGGCATGTTCAGAAACCTTTTGGTGAATGATCGTTGAACGTTTTCTAGTGCTATAATATCCTCTTTTCTCAGATTACTATGCACTATCGTAGAGTACTCAAGTTTCGGCCTAACACATATTTTAAAGGCTTGAAGCCTGGAATCCCTCAAAATAAGACTTCGACTTATGTAGGCGATCACTTTTCTGGCAGAAGCCTGCAAGATTATAACATGCTCTAAAAAGTTAAATGAGGCAGAATATCTTAGACCAAGGTCTCGGACTGCGCCACACACAGGAATAGGGGTATCGTTTAATGTAAGGATGTTCAGAGAAGGGCCGCAGGCGTAGTACAATAGATTACTCTTGTCCGTGGCAAAGTGCAGCTTCCAGGAGTTACTCCAGAGTTCCAATGCGGACAAGTCAGACAGAATATAGGCTAAGTTAGGACTACATTGCCCAGGGGTGGAGCAATACACAATTTTAACATCATCTGCGAAAAGGAACGGCTTTCCATACGAGATTTCGTCGAGGAGATCGTTGAAATAGATTAAGAATAAAAGCGGGCCTAGCACGCTACCTTGAATCACTCCACTGGAGATTGTAGTGGCTTCAGATGTATGGTTACCGATTTTTACTATTTGCTTTCTACCCTCGAGGTAGGAAGACAACCAGTCTAGAAGCGAATTAGTGATACCATAGGACATAAGCTTCAGCAACAATAAATTGTGTGGGACACGGTCAAAAGCCTTTTGGATATCAAGAAATATTACGATGACAGCACTTCCGGCGTCTCGTGCTCTAGTCACATAATCAAGGTAATCTAACTGGCAGGTAGTGCACGACCTACCTTTCAAAAAACCGTGTTGATGTTTACTTA